ATGGTCTTCAGTAAGAGGTCATACTCTTCAAGCTTTCGGTTGTCGTAAGATGGGGCGCACCTCAGAAAGTAGGTTAGCCTGGGAAGGGATAGGCATTTAGTGAGGAGATATAAAGCATCGTGGGCATCGATGTCACCTATTGCAACATGGTATCTTCAGGCAACCAAATTAGAAAGGTTAAATATCCCAAAAGGAATCCACAGGGAAATAGCAGTTAGGCTATATAGACTACGTCTAGGTTACAGATGCAACTGGGAGATTGGTGAACCCCGACAGAGAGAGTGCATCTTCTGCCAAACTGTCACAGAAAAGCCATTACTTCACTATCTTCTGGAATGTGAAGCAACCAATTACCTTAGAAGAGCTTTAAGAGTTCCTGAATCATGCAGTGGCCACCCTGAAGCCATCAACACAGCCACTCTCCTGGTCAACAAAGGTGTCCAGCAGCTGGACACCCTCATAAAGACTGTGAAGCAGTATCCTCCCCCGCGATAACAGCTTGATGGTTAAATGCAACCTCAGAATACTGAGAAAAAAAAATTGTACCACTTACGGGCTATTCATGCCCGTGCCACCTCTTGGGTGGCTTAATCTTTATCAATCAATCAGATGTCACCTATTTTGTCTTCCATCCTTCTAAGGTCTAAGGAGGGTGCTGTTCTCGGCCCTAATGACATGGGCTCCAGGCAAGGCAGACCTTATTCTAGTTACAATGTCTGGGTTGGAGGAGACTACTACATTCTTGGAAGGGTTCAGGACGAGACCCAGGTTTACTTCTTGCTCCCTTATTTTGCTGATATCTGCCAAGAGGTGGTCTACGGTGCCAGCTATAGTGCCATCATCCAAAAACCAAATGTTGAACTCGCTGGACAAGCTTTCGGTGATTTTTTTTTAAGACTAAGCAGAAAAGAAGGGGAGCAAAAGGAGCACCTTGCTGAACACCTTCACATGATCTGATTTCGTGTTCAGCAAAGAGCAGTTTTGATTCACCACTGTAGCACGATAGTATGAATGGGTAGAGGGGCCGGAAATGGCGATGTATTATATCAGCGGTATTTTATAGCATAATGGGTTCAGGAACTAGACCATATAACAATCTGTAAGCTAAGCAATTTACATTTGCTGTGAGCTGGTTTCAGGTAATATGATTTACTTTTACACGTGGGTGAGAGCCATCCAGTGGGCGGCGGGGGACAGTTTACACTCACGTGCACCCACCACCTACTATTATGGCATGCCGACACCAGTTCAAGGACACCAAGTCTTGCTTCACATATTTTATATCATACTTTTGACATGGCGGCCTAAATCACAAACGGTTGAGAAGGGTGGGAAGACTGCATATTTCTGGACTGTCAAAAATCCACAGGTTGGAGAAGAAACTAAGTGACAGGGGAGGTGCTGGAGTAGACGGGGGCAGTGTGGGAACAACAGAAGACAGAAACAAAGAGTGACAGTGAGGGAAGAACCATCAAGATGTCATCATCAACCACCGGGGTCCAACAGGGCTCGGTTACACTACATATCTTCCTCTTAATTATGAATCATCCAGACGGAAGAAAAACTCCTTCCTCGCCTTGTTTACTGATGAGGCAGACAGTAAGCTCGCCAGGAAGTACAGGGCTGAGACACAACCTGCAACACTGCCATTCCAAGTGGCTGCTAGAACTCAACTCCAGGAAATACAAAGTAATAAAGATAGATTCTAGCTTTGAATCTAGATTCTAGTAAAAGATCTTTGCGCATTCTCCTGCTGACCTAGAGAATGTGCAAAGAATGTACTGTTATAATCCACTCAATGAAACTAAGTTATCGGGGCTGATTAAAATGTTTAAATCTGTATTCCCCTAGAACACAGACGAGGGAGATTCATAATAATTTACACTTGGGAAATATTAGAGGGACCGGTTCCAAGTCTGCACACGGAAATACCACCACAAGAGACCAGGAGGCATGGCAGGAAGTGCAAAAAATAGCCCCGTTGAAAAGCAGAGGTGCAATCTCCCAGAACCCCATCAACCAGGTATCAATAGGTAGACTTTTCAACACTTTCCCTTAAAACATTGATAACTTATCAACTAGGCTGTGATGTGTGTCAAGGTGCGAGGAGCCGCGTCCAGTAGTCTGGTTGACCAGGCCACCAACCAGGAGACCTGGTCAGAGACCGGGCCGCGGGGACGTTGATACTCGGAACCAACGCAAGGTAACAGCAAGGTGGTTCCGGAATATGTTGCACCAGTGTTGCTTCCGTATCTCAACAAACATATTGAGGATGGAGATAGTCCAAACTTTAAGAGGTATGTCACCAGACTAATCCCACAGCTGAGCACCGTGAATTACTAGGAAGACTAACTAAACTATATCGTAAGCATGTAAGTCTAAGTAAAGTATATCGTAAGCATGTAAGTCTAAGTAAAGTATATCGTAAGTATGTAAGTAAACTAAATGTTACGAAGAGAGAAGAAACGAGACATGATCACCACATACAAATACTTTAGAG